TGGGTGTGTGTGTGTGTGTGTGTGTGTGTGTGTGTGTGTGTGTGTGTGTGGAGTTCAGGTATACCTCTCCTGCATCATGGCCTTCTCTGTGCTCAGGTAGGACACTTCGTCTCTCAGCAGGCGAATCTGCCGCTCGTACTCGTCGAGAGCCTCCAGCTTCTTCTTATAAACCTCCACCTGCTCGTATGCGGATCGCAAACTGAAACACAAAACACGCTTCACATCAACAGAGGAGCACAGACTTTTTGTTGCATTTGAAAACAAATATAGACACTTTATTATGTTTGTAAACGTGGTGACGGGGTTAAGACGTTGTCTGAACACGTGAACTAACGCTGGCTAGCAAGTTTTCTTGGGTTGGTTTTGAACAATGGCTAAAGAAAATATGTTTCTCAGATTTATTACCATCAGTTTTTTCTCTATCTCTGAAACATTTCACAGATATTGTAGCTTGTAAAATTTGACATATTTCAATGTTTAACTTCTACACTAATCTGAGGTGATTCCTGTTTGCAGCTGCTAACAGCGTGACGTAAGCAGGATGTCGGATGTGAAAGGGTCTATATTTCTGCAGTATTTCACTATCACCCACTCTGCTCTCAGTTGCAGTATTTCGTCTTCGGTGGCCAGCAGAGTGGTTGCTGATTTGCTCTTCGTCTCATCCAGTTCCTTCTGAGCATCGACGAGGCTGTTTGAACAAGGTGAGAGGTATAAATGGAAATAACATGTGCAAGCAAAGTTTATATACGATACGATTACATTGAATTAACGATAAATTATCATATTGAGTTATCGCCCAGCTCTAACAGCACTCCACTTAAAACAAAATCAAAACCCATCTATCTCTATGAGCCTATGCACCAAATACAAAACTTATGTATTAATTGAATTACCAGAAAACGTGCTATATCGTGATATATATTGTTATAGGGGTATGAAATGACCTGTACTGAGATTTTGGCCGCATCGTCCAGCACTAAGTGTGATTTATTATGTCAAATGATTCCCGTTTGGTCTGAAAAGACCTTGAGACTCACTCTGCTCTGGTGGAGTCCAGCTGCAGGCGAGTGGAGCTCAGCTTCTGCTTTTCGCTGTCATGGGAGGCGGAGAGATCCCTGATCCTCTTGTCCTTCTCCACCGAGTCCTGATGACAAACGATGATCAATAATATGCAGTAACCACAAAACCAGATGGCCAGAAAAGAGGGGAAGGATTTGAATTGGTTGAAGGAGTTTTTATGTAAATTCCATCTATGGCGTAGTGTTGATTTTGATTGATTCATCAATAAGATATTCTGTGTTATGAAACATGGTCACGGGTGATGTCACCTGGATGAGCTGCAGACTGGTGTCATCGGTGACCGAGGTCCCCGCCATTGAGAAACAGGTCCCAAGCCACGGCAGCAGGCGCGTTTTGAGAGTGTCGACTCCAGCATAGTGTCCGCCTGAGTCAGGGGAGTAAAAACAGAGAGTGTGTGTGTGTGTGTGTGTGTGTGTGTGTGTGTTGAATAGCTCACACCCGATTATAACCTTTGTAACATAGACTGTTTATAAGAAGTGGACGTAGTCGTCGTGACGTCACCCATTGCTTTGTGGACTGACGTTTTTAAAGCCTCAAGGTCGCCGTCGCCATGATTGTTTTTTTGCCGCCAATTAACAGAAGTGACCATATCTGGTCTGAGGAGTGAC